TCAGGGGCCTAAGGTCACTATTCTTAAATATATCAGAATTGCTCAGTGAAATCACTGTGTATATGCTATATAGGTGCATGCCTGTACATACGGGAATAGAATGAGAATTCAAACACCAGAACGTCCTGATAAATATAGGATTTTCAGTCATCCACAGAATAAAATTCTACCACTAAAGAATTAAGTTTAAACCAGGTGCAGTGGTGCATGCCTGTAATCCCAACACTTTGGAGGCTGAAGCACAAGGATTGCCAGGAGTTCAAGATCAGTGTAGGCTACAGAGTGAATTCAAGCCCACCCTGAACTATACAGCAAGACCTTGTCTCAAATCAAAACAATAAAAAAAGAACTTTAAGTTTAAAAGTCACTTAACTTTCTTTAAAAAAACAAAATTTAAAGGCATAAAAAGTTAATTTTACCACAAATGAACTAAGTATACAGATGCAATCCTATGTTCCTTCCCATTAACAGGAAAATGGTAAGTTCACTTGGCATTTTGGGTATAGTCCATTTATAGTACTTACCTGCAGCCTGTCCAGTCTTCGCTAAGAGAGACCCCAGTTCAAGGATGCTCTGCTCTTTGACCTGAACTGCCTCCTCATCATTTTCCTGAATGTCACGCTTTACTGGGGGGGAAAAAAGAAAGAATTCTCTTAAATTCTGATTTTAAAAAAAGACAGGAAAAATTCATCCTCGTAAGAGCCACTATAAATATTTACCAAAAAGCAAATTATACAGTTTTTAAAAATCTTTCTAAATAAGAAAAGTTAAACCAGGCATGATGGCACAATATAATCCCTGCACTAAGGGAGAGGCAGAAGGATCACTGTGAGTTCAAGGCCAGCCTTACAGTGCCAGCCGAGCCTTAACTACATAATGAGACCCTGTCTCAAAATAAGTAATAGCAGGAGTGATGGCAACACATCTGTAATCCCAGCCCTTGGGGAGGCTGAGGCAGAAGAATTGCCAACAAGTTTGAGGTTAGCCTGGGTTACACAGTGAGTTCAAAGCTAGCCTGAGGGGCCAGGGAGATGGCTCAGTAGAATAAACACTTGTCTGGCAAGCCCAAGGGCCTGAGTTCAATCCCTGGTTCCGCCAATAAAAAAAAAAAAAAAAAAAAAGCTAGCCTGAACTACAAGTCTTTGCCTCAAAAAACTTATTAAAAAAGAAGTAATAATACACTAAATAAAAATCATCTGCTATGCCACCGAGGCACACTGAGATGGCAACTGAGACTGGGCATCGTGGCACGCGCCTATAATTCCAGCACCTGGGAGGCTGTAAATAGGAGAATCACTATGAGTCCAATATAGTAGTGAGGCCCTGAACACCCTGTACACCCTTCCCTAAAATACAGAAATAAATAAATACATTTTTTAAATCATGTATATACAGGACATGCCTCATGTAAATCATAAAAAGCAAATTCTTCGGAGTTCAAGTGTGCTTTTTTACTCTATCCATTAGAATTTCCCTCACCTATGGACAGATTTCTGTGGTGGTTACTTAGTTAAAGCAAAATTAAAACAAGACCTTCATACTTACAGTGTGACCCCATAGTCACTATGTGATCTAAAGCTACAACAGTCCTAGGATGTTTACCTACCATAAACCAAATGACTAAACTATTGATAACCATAAAGTCAAAAACCTTTCAATACACTTTAAGTCTGTGGAAAGCATCAGCTGATGGGTGTGTTATGCATAAACAGTTCTATAAAGCTATTCCACAAAACTACCTAACAAAATTCAATAATCCTTAACAATTACACTTAGAAGAGAATGGCACCTTAAAAGAGATCCAGGTCCCATTAAAATAACTTTCTGCTACCTGTCCCACTTTCAGATGTTAATAATTATTTGAAAACTTGAAAATGAAATAGCCTCTCCAAGTTGTAGTGTTAAGTGATCACTAGTCACCACTTCTCTTACAAAAGCATCATGACTTGACAAAAACCAACACTTTGGTACTCCATGATGGAGTCTGGAAAAAGTAAAACTGTGGACCATCAACACTGAATCTCGTTCTAACAGAGAAGTTTTCAGGGAACTTTCTCTAAGGTCAGTGCCCAAGCAACTGTAATGGTAATGTTTACCACAATTTGTACTTCCCAAAAGACAAAACATTAGGCACTAGATACACACACAAAAATGAAATTCACGTATCTCACACTGCTCCAAGTACTCAGAGAATAAAACTACACATGCATAACAACGACTGTGATGAATCCGGGTCTGTAACTGGATTCAGAACTTAGAACCAGAACTCAAAAAAAAAAAGAAAAAATCCTTGACCACTAACAAGTCTAGTGATGCATCTGACCCACCTCACGTCCTCTCTAGTCCCCCCAAAGAAAAACACATCAAGATGCCTTTTGTCCTTTTTCTGTGCAACAAGTTACAAAATTCAAAGATTAAACAAGCTAGCACAAACATAACATCCTAGAAGCCCCACAAACACGTGCATTCTCATACGACTTGTTGATCCAAGTGGAATCTTCTCAAGGTACATTTAAAAGCTCCTATTACTACCAACTCAGTAAAGAGATGTCCCATTCCCTAACTGAACCCTTCACCATTGAACACTGAAAGCATTCTCAGACACAAACACTTATTTCTGTTCACACCTGAATCTCAGTAGAAAGCCAAGAAATCTGAAACTCCCCCGTCAAATTTCCTGGCGTGTGCAGGTGGAAGGCGACCATACCACAGTATTTAGAAAAAAAATTTTTTTTTCTTTTTTTTTGCCCTGGCAACGTACAGCCGGCCTGTTCCAGAGTTCGCTGAACTCCGCCGCTGACAACTCGCTGAACTAACTTCTGGCCCCGGCCGGGCAGACCAGGACGATTAGTCACCTCCACCCGGCACTGCGCTCTCACCCCCACAGGGCAGCTCTGCAGCCAAGTGCACGGCACACAGTGTGTCGTCACCCCTCAACTCCACACGCGGAGCAAAGCCGCTCTCGTTCCCTGAAGCCTTCCGCCGAGGGCTGGGCAGAAAAGAAGGAGCAGATCCCTGCGAGCGCCCGGTGAAAGGAAACTCCGAGGCGAGGCACAGCGAGCACGAGCGCTCCCACCCGAGCACCCCGCGCTGATAACAACGGCGGGAAAAGCGCGTCCCGAGCGGGCTGCGCCGGGCCTCTGAGCTGGGCACTGTCCGGCCGGCTCGGAACCGGCCCGCTGACCCGCGCGGCTCCGGGTCCGGGCTGGACAGAGCCGGGGGCCCGGCTCGGCCCTCTCTCCCATCCCGCGCCCAGTCCGCCGTGAGTCAGCAGCCAGCAGGTGGACGCGCGGGTCGCCTCGGGGCTCCCCAGCAGACTGGGACCCCGGGAGCCCCCGGGAGCCCCGAGCGGCCTGCGCCCCCGGCCCGGCCCCCCTCACACACACAGTGAGTCAGCAGCAGCGGAGCCGGCTAGCCCGGCCCCTCTCCGCGGCCGCCGAGCGACACCGGCAGAGCTGGCCCGGCGGGGCCGCAGGGAAGGTGCGGCGACCTTTACCGATGGAGTGCAGGATGTCGATGGAGGCCTCCCGGTCGGTGCTAAGCAGAGACTGGGCTCTCTGGAACTCCACCACCGCTGCCGCCGCCATCTTACCGCTCTCACACCGTCCCCGGCCGCGGCCGCCGACGCCGGAAACACAGGCCCGGAAAGCCCGCCCTCGCGCCCCTCCCGCGGGCGCCCGCCTCCCCGCCCAGAGCACCCCGGGAGTTGTAGTCTCGGGCTGGACGAGGCGCGGGCGAGCAGCACGCAGGGGCTCCGGCGGTGGTCTGCAGCTCCCCAGCACCGCCTAGCGGCAGCTGGCAACCAACACTACCCAAATGTAGTACCCACTCCAAAAGGGAACCCTCAACTCCCCCAGCGAGGAAAGAATTTTTGAGCACCTGGCTAAGTACCCAGTGAAAGCGGGTTTCCTTTCTCCCGCTTTTAGCCCCTCACTCAGGACAATATATACCTTATCAAATTCTTGCTTTGTGAGAATTGCTTAGCGCCATTCAAATACATTCGAGTGTCAACACTTGCTACACACACTCGCCCGACCGTGTTCTTTCAAGGTTTAGCTGGTCTTTGATTAAACGCGACAGTTTCAGAGAAAACTGTCTCCCCAAGAATCCCACTCTTGGGACTGAGATATTATAGAATCATTCACTCGATAAATATTCTTGGAATTCGGTATGGCGGCATACGCCCGTGTTACCAACACTCTAGGGGGCTGAGGTATGAAGAACGCAAAGCCGTGGCTGGCATGAGCAATTTATTGACTCATGGAGCCCATCTCAAAAAATATATAAAAGGTCTGAGGATGTAGCCCAGTGCAAAGGGCCAAGTTTGGTCAGGGTCACTGCATTTGAGGCAATAAGCATATCGCTTAAGGTCACATGATTATCATATAAAGCACTCAGATTTTTTTTTTCTTCTGAGACAGGGTCTGCTAGTGTATTTCTGACTGTCTGAACGCATTATGTTGCCCATGCTAGCCTCAAACTCACAGCAATCCTCCTGCCTCAGCCTCCCTCCCAGGTTACAGGCATATGCCACCACATGTGGCTTCAAGCTTTTGAGTAGTGCTATTTATTGTACCACAACAAAGTTTAAGCTTCTGCTGATCAATTATAGGATCTTCAGTTTAGCACAAATGCTCTTGAACAGGTTAATCCTTTCATCCCAAATGATAGATTTTGTAATATCAAGAAGTTAATACAAGGGCTGGGGAGATGGCTCAGTAGAATAAGCACTTGCCTGGCAAGTGCAAGGTTCTGAGTTCAATCCCTGGTACTGCAAAAAAAAAAAAAGTTAATACAAGTTATTTCCCATTTTAAAAAATAAAAATGAAATCAGTTATCTGTCAAGGTGTCAAGTGGAAGGAAAAGAAACATTGTAGCTGACCACTGTGGGTTAAGTGTAAGGAAGTTGCTAAAACTGGGCAGAGGTAGTTCCATACAAGGAAGATCTTTCCCCAGATGAGGAATATTGAAAGCTGGAATTTGCTGTCCCATAAGGTCCTGTAACAAGAACCACACTGTCCTTCTCTATGACTGAAGTGGGTAATTTACATATCTACCTCCTCTTACCCTCCAAAACAATGTTCTCTTTAGAATATAGTATTTACTCCCCTGTAATAGACAGGAAACTGCAGGGGTTTAAGTGATTCAGTGAAGTTGAAATAGTGGTTAGCAAACCTGAGAACTAAAGGAATGTGTTAATTCCTGGGTCTGTTCAAATGAAAACAGGTTAACATTTCCATCCAATTCCTAACTGTGTTTAGAAGTTGGAATAAAAGGCTTCTAGCCAGGCATGGTGGCCCACGCCTGTAATCCCAGCACTCAGGAGGCTGAAGCAGGAGGACTGTTGCAAGTTCAAGACCAGCCTGGGCTACAAAGTGAGCTCAAGGCTGTCCTGAATGGCACAGCAAAACTGTCTCAAAAAGACAAATAATGGGGCTGGAGAGATGGCTCAGTGGTCTAAAGCACCTACTTGGAACAAGCTTGGTAAAGCACAGGGACCGCGGTTCGATCCCCCAGCACCACATGCCAGCTAGCCCCGCCCCCTGGTGGGCTGAGTTGGCCACACAAACACACACACACACACACATAAATAAATGTAAAATAAATAAATAAATAAATAAAATAAAGCTTTAAAAAAAAAAACCTAGTTTAAAAAAAAAAAAGACAAATAAATAGGCTTCTAAATGTCTCCCAACTGTGAGATTACATGAATGTCAGTGCAAGACTAAACGTGTCAGCCAGGTGTGGTGGCACATACCTGTCACCCCAGCACTTAGGAGGATGAGGCAGGAGGATCACCACAAGTTCAAGATCAGTCTGAACTACATAGTAAGATCTTGTTTAGACAAAAAGAAATCTTTCCTTCTCAGTCTGTTGTACAATCAATGATATTGTACCAGATGGTCGGACATACTTGTTTGGCATGGTGGTGGTTGTTTGCAGGACTGAGAATTGAATGCAGGACCTCAAGTATGCTAGGCAAGCACTCTATGATGGAGCCACAGCTACAATTCCCCAAAATATTAATGAGCTACTCCAAAGCTGAAAACAATAGCTGTAAAAAATACCACAGCTGGGTGTGGTGGCATACTTGTAACCTCAGCTACTCCAAAGGGTGAGGCAGGAGGATTACAAATTTGAGACTAGCCTGGGCAATTTTGCAAGACTGCCTCAAAATTAAAAATGCTGAGCAGGGGAGATAGTTCAGCAGCATACACACCTGCCGAGCAAGTGCAAGGTCCTAAGTTTAATCCCTAGTACCCAATAAACAAACAAATGAATCAACCAATCTGGAGATGTTGGAGTATGTTTGTAATCCTAGCACTCTGAGAGGCAAAGGCAGAAGGATCACAAATGTCAGCCCAGCTTGGGCTGTTTAGCAAGACCCTATCTCAAAAAATAAATATAAAATAAAGGCCAGGGAGATGGCTCAGTGCACTAAGTGCTTCCCTGGCAAGCACAAGGGACTAAGTTCAATCCCCAGTTCTGCAAAATATAAATAAATTAAATAAGATAAAAATACATATATATATACATATATATATATGACTATGAAAGTAGCTCAATGCAAAAGCATTTGTTTCAACTCTCAGTACTTCCAAAAAGGGGGAGGGGAGAGAAGCTACTTACTAGATCCTGTATCTACTTCCAGTTTCATTCAGAGAGACACAAGTCAAAAGGAATTCATCAGAAGAAAACATAGGAGAGTATAGCACGCTCCCACCTAACTACAAAGTGGGGGTACTGCTGGACATGGTGATGCACTCCTATAACCCAGCACTTAAGAGGATGACAAAAAAGGATCATTATGAGTTCAAAGCTAGCCTGGACCCTGTCTCAAAAAAAAGAAAAAAAGAAGTACTACAAAAGATGAGTATCAGCCTGAATTACACAGCTATTGTTTCAAAAGATACCATTAAAAAAAGAAAAAAAAAAAAAAGGTGGGGAGATAGCTCAGTAGAATAAGTGTTTGCCTGGCAAGCTCAGGGGCCTGAGTTCAATCCCCAGTACCACAAAAAAAGGGGGGTGGGGGCATATTACAAAAGATGAGCATCTGCTAGAATGTTCTCCCAAGTTAATAAGCCCTGCACTTTTTTTTAAAAAAATTTTATTTATTGTGTGTGTATGTGTGTCCAGCTCAACCCACCAGGGGGCGGGGCTGGCTGGCATGTGGTGCTGGGGGATTGAACCGTGGTCTCTGTGCTTTGCGAAGCTTGTTCTAAGTAGGTGCTTTAGACCGCTGAGCCACCTCACCAGCCCCAAGCCCTGCACTTTAAAAAGCCCCTCCTTGTGCAACCACCTACAGGCAGGTTTGTAGGTGAACTACAGATGTTTCTCCAGTTTTGGTAATTGAGTACATATGTGAAGATGATTACCCACTTCTGGCCTACATACTTCTGAATTAGGGAAGCTGGCCGCCACACTCCAATAGGACAAAGGTGAGTAAAGTTCAGCCCCCAACACATATGTTTGGTATGGCAACACTCCCAGCTAGAAAAAGGATGCTAGAAAAATATGGGCCATGCAAAATATTTTGTTTTTACTTTTTTGAAGTATGTATGTATGTATTTATTTATTTATTTTTGGCCAGCTCAGTCTGCTCTGTATGTGGTGCCAGGGATCAAACTGTGGACTTCTGTGCCTGCCTAAGCTTCCCTAGCAGGCAGGTTAGACAGCTGAGCTATCTCGCCAGCCTTTTAAAAATGTATTTATTTATTTTTTGTTTTTTTAGCTCCGAATGCCTTCAGGGCTGGTTTGGCTGGCTTGAGTTGTGGGGATCGAACCACAGCAACCTGAGCCTGACTGCTTTGTTGAAGCAGCTGCTTAAATAACTGAGCTAAGGGGCAGGCCCCCTTTTGTTTGTTTTTTTGAGACAGGGTCTCAATATGTAGCTCCAGCTGCAGTCAGAATCACGGCAATCCCCCTGCCTCAGCTTCCTGAGTCCTGGGATTACAGATGTCCTCCACACTCAGTTTGGCTTTGTTTTGTTTTTGTAAGCATTACAGGAATAGATCCAGAGCATTTATTATAATTACAGCCAGATGAGGTGGCACAGGTCTGCCTCAGGAGGCTGATGCAGGATGCCTGCCATGAGTTTGAGAACCTGGTCTCCCTAGTGAGTTCAAGGCCAGTCTGAGCTGCATACTGAGATAGCCAGAAACTCTCTCAAAACACCTTTCCTGAAAAGTTGAGACAAACAAAATACTAATTACATCTGCATACTACGTGACACATATACCTCCAGGGCCATAATTAACACTTAGCACTGTCATGACCAGAAAGAACCATGAAGGGGCTGGTGAGATGGCTCAGTGGTCTAAAGCGCCTACTTAGAACAAGCTAAGCTAAGCAAAACACAAGGACCACGGTTCAATCCCCCAGCACCACATGCCAGCCAGCCCCGCCCCCTGGTGGGCTGAGCTGGCCACACACACAAAATAAATAAATAAATATTTAAA